ATCCCAGCTCGCTGCAACCTCCACCTCCCGGGTTCAAACAATTCTCTGGTCTCAGCCTCCTGAGTAGCTGGGATTACAGGCATGCGCCACTACGCCCAGCTAATTTTTGTATTTTTAGTAAAGACGGGGTTTCACCATGTTGGCCAGGATGGTCTCAATCTCCTGACCTTGTGATCCGCCCACCTCAGCCTCCCAAAGTGTTGGGATTACAGGCGTGAGCCAGCGTGCCCAGCCCTTTTATCTTATTTTCTTTATGTGACTTAGAAGGTTTGAAAGAGGACTGTTTTGCTAATATACCTCAGTAGTTACTAACTAGCTAGAAGGGAAGAGAACCCCTGGGAAATCCGAGTTAGGAACCTGTAATTAGCTGCATCTGGTGGGTATTCGCTTGAGGTGTCGTCAGTGACAGTGCAAAGTTTGCACTAACGAGCGTGTTTGCTTCTGTGCAGTTCACTGTGTAAAGAGAGCAAGACGGCACCGCTGGAAGTGGGCGCAGGTGACTTTCTGGTGCCCAGAGGAGCAGCTGTGTCACCTGTGGCTGCAGACCCTTCGGGAGATGCTGGAGAAGCTGAGTATGTGTGTGTTAGGACTGAGAGACGGGATGGCCGTGGGGGCACGCGCATGCCCGATTGGGTGATCTTCCTGATGTATCTGCCTTCATGCAGCTGGCCACACCCCAGGTGGACATGATGAGTCAGGCTGACTTAATTTCTCATTAGTGCACCAGCCCAGTGAGTGCAAAGAGCGTGGGCTGCACAGCCTGGACCCTGGCGTGGAGTCCAGCCCCCTGCTCACTAGCCAGGAGGTATGGGGGTAGGTCACTTACCCTTCTGAGCCTCAATTTCTCTTTCTGGGAGTCAGGATGGTAATAGCTTTTACATTCAAGGTGAATGTGAGAATTAAACTGGGCACCTGGAGGAATATACCTCATATCTGTCTGGGATGTATCAACATCTTTGTTAAAAAATCTTTTTCTTGTCTTTTTGAGACGGAGTCTTGCTCTGTTGCCCAGGCTGGAGTGCAGTGGCATGATCTTGGCTCACTGCAACCTCCACCTCCTGGGTTCAATTGATTCTTCTGCCTCAGCCTCCCGAGTAGCTGGGACTACAGGCACACGCCACCATGCCTAATTTTTGTATTTTTAGTAGAGACGAGGTTTCACCGAGTTGGCCATGCTGGTCTCGAACTCCTGACCTTAGGTGATCTGCCCACCTTGGCCTCCTAGAGTGCTGGGATTCCAAGTGTGAGCCACTGCGCCTGGCCAGGGATGTGTCCACATCTGAAACGTCGTAGGAGCCTGCAGCCTGGTGGGTTAGTTACTGCATGCTGAGTAACAAGACTGTCACCCTTAAAAAGTGGTGGGATGGGTAGAGACATAATCTGTACATTAAACCCCCATGGCATGCAGTTATCTGTATAGCAAACTTGCACATGTACTTGTGAACTTAAAAGTTTAAAAAAAGGAAAATGTGGTACACACACACACACACACACACACACAGAGCGGTAGATGTTTATTCATTTTGTATTTATCACACAATTTCATGTTGTTTGAGTACAGCCTTAAGACACAATTTTTTTTTTTGAGACAGGCTTTCCTCTGTTGCGCAGGCCGGAGTGCAGTGACATGATTTCAGCTCACTGCAACCTCCACCTCCCGGGCTCAAGTGATCTTCCCACCTTAGTCTCCTGAGTAGCTGGGACTACAGGTGTGCGTGACCATGCCTGGCTAATTTTTTTACATTTTTTGTAGAGACAGGGTTTTGCCATACTGCCCAGGGTGATCTCGAACAATTGGGCTCAAGCAATCAGCCCATTTCAGCCTCCCAAAGTGCTGGGATTACAGGTGTGAGCCACCGAGCTCACCATACACAGTCTTGCCAACTCAGGCTAGCCTTCACCGGTAGAATAGAAATTGGCATGCGTTTAGGTTAGTTTTATATATTCGAATGAATTTGGCACCCACATCAAGAAAGTGAATTTCAGCTTATTATGAGACATTCCCACATATCTGCCTGAGAGAAGCATCCTTGCTTGAAAGAGCCCTTCTCTTGATTACCACTGGGGCGGGAGGACCTGCACTTCCACACTTCGTGTTTAATCCCGGGGAGCCTGGCCTCCACCACCTATTGGTGGAGCTCATGACAAGCTCATCATGACAGTCCTCACATGTAAAACCACCACAAGCCCTGTTCCTGTGCGTGTCGCTCCGCAGTCGGGTGTTCAGAAAAGTGCGTCTGTTTCTCCCGCCTTCCTGCCCCCATTTGTCTCTCAGCTCCCCCTTTCTGTCCGTCCCGCTCTCTCCTTCCCTTTCCTCCCATCAAACCTGTTTCCTTTCTTTTTTTTTTTTTTTTTGACGTGGCTCTGTCACCCAGGCTGGAGTGCAGTGGCGTGATCTCAGCTCACTGCCACCTCCACCTCCCAGGTTCAAGCGATTCTCCTGCCTCAGCCTCCCGAGTAGCTGAGACTATAGGCACCCACCACCACATCTGGCTAATTTTTTTTTTTTTTTTTTTTGAGACGGAGTTTCACTCATGTTACCCAGGCTGGAGTGCAATGGCGCGATCTCGGCTCACCGCAACCTCCGCCTCCTGGGTTCAGGCAATTCTCCTGCCTCAGCCTCCTGAGTAGCTGGGATTACAGGCACACACCACCATGCCCAGCTAGTTTTTTGTATTTTTAGTAGAGACAGGGTTTCACCATGTTGACCAGGATGGTCTCGATCTCTTGACCTCGTGATCCACCCGCCTCGGCCTCCCAAAGTGCTGGGATTACAGGCTTGAGCCACTGCGCCCGGCCTAATCTGGCTAATTTTTGTATTTTTTAGAGACAGGGTTTCACCATCTTGGCCAGACTGGGCTTGAGCTCCTGATCTCAGGTGATCTACCCGCCTCGGCCTCCACAAATGCTGGGATGACAGGCGTGAGTCACTGCACCTGGCCCAAACTAGTTTTCATGAGACTTTGGGTGACTGGACTCCAGGTTTGATCCTTCAAGCGCAGACTCCAAGAGAAAGTCCTCTGAACCCTGCCTCCCAGTGAGGAATGTGGGTTCATTTTCATCCTTATAATTAACAGAAAAACCCACAGAGCTGTGTATCTGGTATAGTCCACTCGTATCTGAAGATTGTGTATGATTCTATTGTTTCAGCCATCTTCAAGTTTAACTTCTGACCTTGCTGTCTGTTTAGTGGGTTTTTTTTGTTTCTTTTTGTTTTCTGAAACAGTTTCACTCCATCACCCAGGCTGGAGTGCAGTGGTGCGATCGCTGCTCATTGCAAACTCCTCCCCCCAGGTTCAAGCGATTCTCCTGCCTCAGCCTTCCGAATAGCTGGGATTACAGGCACCCACTAGCTACCACACCCGGCTAATTTTTGTATTTTTTTGTAGAGGAGGTGTTTCACCACGTTTGCCAGGCTGGTCTCAAACTCCTGACCTTAAGTGATCCACCCGCCTCGGCCTCCCAAAGTGCTAGGTTTACAGGCTGTGTTAGTGTTTGATTGGCATGTCACAGATGCAGAGGATCTCGTTCTGAGTGTGCACTGGGTGAATTTTCACACTGAGCACACTTGTGTAACCAGCACCCAGATAGAGGAGCAGAATATTGCCAGCCCCAGGGTCCCCCGCCATGTCTCTGTTGTCATTACTCCCCAAAGGGGAACGACTGCCATGACCTCTAAGCAGCTAGGTTCATTGCTGTACTTGACATAAATCAAATCATACGGTAGGAACCCTTTTCCGCCTGGCTTTCAGCTCAACGTTGCACTTGTGAAGTTTCCACGCTCTTGCGTGGAGCCGTAGTTTGTTCCTTCTCTGGGCTGTGTGGCATTCTGTGACGTGAATGTCACAGCCATTTCTTCACCCGTGGTACTGCGGCTGGGGGTCTGGCTAGCTTCCTGATGCACCTATCAACAGTCGTGTTGCAGACGTTTTAGGGCATGTCTGCATTTCTCCTGGGTGCATACCTGGTTGTATGTGTCTGTTGCACGTGTTGACTTCCGTAGACACTACCAGCCTGCATTCCACCCTCAAGGGGCAGGAGTTCTGGCTGCCCCGCATCTCCGCCACACCTTTACATTTCAGCCGTGGTGCTGAGTGTTAGTAGTCTTGCATTGTGGTTGTAGTTTGCATTCCCTAATGGTTAATGAGGCTGAGAAACACATTCATATGTTTATAGGCCATTTGGATATCCCCCTTTGTGAGGATCTGTTCAAGTTTTGTCCATTTTTCCGTTTGGATGTTTCCCCTTCCCTCCCTCCCTCCTTCCTTCCTTCCTTCCTTCCTTCCTTCCTCCCTTCCTCCTTCCTTCCTTCTTTCTTCCTTTCTTTCCTTCTTTTCTCCTTTCCTTCTTTCCTTCTTTCTTCTTTTCTTTAAGAGACTCTTGCTCTGTTGCCCAGGCTGGAGTGCAGTTGCACGATCCTGGCTCACTGCAACCTCTGCTTCCGGGGTTCAAGAAATTCTCGGCCGGGCGCGGTGGCTCACGCCTGTAATCCCAGCACTTTGGGAGGCCGAGGCGGGTGGATCACCAGGTCAGGAGATCCAGACCATCCTGGTCAACATGGTGAAACCGCGTCTCTACTAAAACTACAAAAAATTAGCTGAGCATGGTGGTGCGTGCCTGTAATCCCAGCTGCTCAGGAGGCTGAGGCAGGAGAATTGCCTGAACCCAGGAGGCGGAGGTTGCGGTGAGCCGAGATCGCGCCATTGCACTCCAGCCTGGGTAACATGAGTGAAACTCCGTCTCAAAAAAAAAAAAGAAATTCTCAGCCTCTCTGCACCACCATGCCTGGCTAATTTTTTGTATTTTTTAGTAGAGGAGTGTTTTCACCATGTTGTCCAGGCTGGTCTTGAACTCCTGGTCTCAAGTGATCCACTTGCCTTGGCCTGCCGAAGTACTGGGATTACAGGCCTGAGCCACCATGCCCGGCCAGTGTATCTTTTTTTCTTTTTGAGATGAAGCCTCACTGTTTTCCAGGCTGGAGTGCAGTGGCGCAATCTTAGCTCACCACAACCTCCGTCTCCCAGGTTCAAGCCGATTCTCCTCCTCAGCCTCCTGAATAGCTGGGATTACAGGCTTGTGCCACCATACTCGGCTGATTTTTTTTTT